AACATTTTTTAAGTAGTAGCAAAATATAAACAACAAATTAGATGTCAAAATTATTTATATTAGATCCTATTTAAAAATAATATAGTCTCTAAATTTTTTGTGTGGCAACGTTGGTTTATAAATAATAATAATTACAGAACTAATTTGTTATATTAACAACAAATTTTAAAATCATGAAATATCAACATTTATTAATTTTCTAAGCATGCAGTGTAATGGAAGGAAAATATAAATAAAAAATTAGAAATCAAAATTATTTATATTAGGTGCTTTATATTACTATTTAAAAATAATATATTTACTTTTACTGGCATTTACTTTAAAAAATAAATGAAATATTTCTTCGCAAAAAACTACATGTAAGAGAATTAGCATAAACAAAATACAAACATCGTTAACTTTTTTTTTAATTGGCACGTGTAAAACTTTCAATTTAATTTTCTCACCCCATAGTTTGAGTTCGATAATCATTTACTTAACCACATTACTTAAATATGATTATTAAGTTCAACTAATTCATATTATTAAAAATTAAAACATCTAAAATACAAATATGTATTTTTAAAATTAATTGTAAGTTCATCTCATCTCTCTTAAAAATTGCTACTTCTCAAAATTACCCAATAAAAAATAGACCATATACCATATAAAATTAAATAATTGAAAGATCGGGCTACGGAAATCACACAAATTTTCGGAAAGATTTTGACCACCTCCACACGCACACAATCGTCAATTAAAAAACTACTATTTTAGTATTTTAAATATTTTAATAAACGCAAAAATAGCACACTATTTATACGTCGTAGTTATAAAAATTTGGAAGAACTAATAATGCACTGACGCACACAAAAATCAAACGAATACTAAATTCTAAATTTCATTTATCAAAAGCATTCGATAGTCGTGGCTCAACGATAACCATTTAGTCGCACGGCGAGGTTGTCACATATGCTTTAGTATACAAATGAATGAATGATTTTATTCGAATAAAACCATTCGATAGTTGAAATCATTCATTCAGTAACCATTCGATAGTCTAATTCATTCGATAGTTCCCATCGCTAGAAATAATAGTTTTTTCCCGCGACTTCGTCCGCATAAATTCGAATTTTGTCAATATAAATAAGTGTAATATTTATTGCAGCACCTAGTAAAAATATTTGAAAGTACCTATTACATGTGTCTAGTTGTAATTGATACACAAGTAGCATTTTTGGACACATTTTAGGTAATGTTTATAATAATCGTGTCTGTTTCTTGATACAAAATGGAAACGGTATGCCACAAATAGGAAACATGTTCGAAACCTATATATTTTATATGGTTTTATTACATGTGTTTCCAATGTGGTGGCACTAGCCGTTTCCTGAAATGTTTCGATGCGGAATCAGGACTTTTAGAAGAAATGTTTTGAAACATTTTCTGCAACTTGTGTCCAAAATGTTCCTGTTTTCAGCAGCCTCTGTTTCGAAATGTGAAGAAACAAATACCAAACTAGTAAAACTAAAAGTTTAACTAAATAAAATAGTCTGTCTGTGTGTGGATATCCAAACGAAAACAACCATCAACAATGTCAACCTCCGCCATATTTTTGTTTTGTTTTTGAGATCTTTTTTTTAGGTTCTCTCGCACAAAAAATGTCTGGCAAAAGTAAATTCATCGTTTAATTTAATAATGTACTTTTATATTTTTAATGCCCCTTTTATATATCATTATTTGTTGCTACAAAATATTTTTGTTTGAAATATATATTTTTATTTTTATTTCTATATCATGGTTCTGGAAATAAAAATGTATACATTAATGTAAGTAGGACGGCGTTCTTATGAGTTTTAAAGCTCAACAGCCGATAAAAATATATATTTTTAGTTAAAAACGCTATCACTAGCCAACATGGCGGAATCTTAATTCATTATTTTATAAAATTGACATGGAGTCATCTATATTATATCATATTTGTGTCTAAATAGAGAGAAACTCGTGTTTCGAAAATGAATCGATAAGAAATGGAAACCTTGTCCAAAATGTTTCGATTTAGCGCTATCTGGGTAGAAATTTCGAACTAGTCACCTGTCAGCAACCCGAATCAAAACTTCTGGTCAAAATAATTAAAACATTTATATTTACTTAAGAATAAGAAAAATATTTGTATTTGTACTCACCATATGTCCTCCCTTCTGCTTTTTTAATTATAGTACTCTAAAAACTTGAAGAATGCTTAAATGGCAAAAACTGCAGAACAAAATCCAAACAATAAAGTAAGGTTATGTTCTCATATTTGACAGAATATCAAATAAATTATGGAAACTTTTCAGGCACAAAACGGGTACGAAATCTTTGTAAATGTGAGCCACATCTGTTTCTTAAAAGTTTCGAAAAAGTTGTGACTCTAAGATCTTTATTGTTATAGCTTATTATTATGCCATATTTTGGTAAAATGTTTCGAAACAAAAAGCGATTTATGTTATGAAACATGTATCAAAAATGTGACGAAACTGTCAGCAGAGATTTTGTTTCGATATTGTGTCTAAAAATGCTACTTGGGTAGTCTCTTATTATAACACCTAGTGGCAGTATTTGAAAATACCTCTACCTCTATTAAACCGGACTCTGACTTGTATACTTATCTTAACTTTTATAAAACTTATAACATTTTTTACTGACATACAGGTCCGGCGATAGTGCGTCGTAGCTCCTATAATAAATACCTTATTTTGAGATTTTAAATATAGCTTAAACGTGATGATTTTTTTCTTTATAGTCGTTGTTGATTTATTGACATCACTTCATGACCTCTGGTCCTTTATTTCTTATTTTCAATCTATTGATCCGATGTGTTTATTGATCTTAAAATTAATGGCACAAGAAGGGCACATGGACCCACAAATATAATGCCTCTACTTGTTTGAACTACTACATAGATCTGAAATTAATACACAAAATCTTCAGCAAATTGTTTCACACAAAAACCAATACTAATAAACGAAAATATAAAAAAAAATGATAAAAAGAATGACCTCTCTTTAATTTTAATTAACGGAAAGCTTTCGAAGACGCCTGCAAGATTAACTGTCTAAAGAAAAGCAGACTTTTCTTATAAAATTCTTATGTTGAGCTCTTAATCTCCTCTAATACAGTTTTATTTCGATAAAATTCATGGACGAAATGCTCAAGAAATTGCAGATTACAATGTAAGAATGAAAACTGATTGATTTTAATTAAAAACTATTATTTAGTTATTATTTTGTATTTATATTTCACTGTGAATTTGCAAAAACACTTTAACGTCTGGAGTTTTGCTTTAAAAAGCAATCTGGCAAAAATGTCTCGTTATTTAATCAGTATTATTTTTCGTTTTCTTTAGAAGCCTAAGTGAGACTTTATAAATATTCATGCAATTACTTTACATAAAAATGGAGAAAAGCGTTGATTTGGCTCGTAGTAGAGATATAATTAAAAATGCTTTTAAATTAATTAAAAAGCAAATATTTTTTGTTGTTATGATTTAAAATCTTATGCTCTATGTTTTTGTTGTTATGATATTTACCTATAGTATATTAAAACTTTGTGTAAAAAAAGAGAAAAACTATACACTATTAGCATATAGGTACTGGGTGTTGCTCAAAATAACTTTTTTATTTTTTCAGATAACAAAACGAGATTTGGTACGATAGTATATGACGTAAATCAGGATTGATTGACGTATTTAGTGGTTTTCGATCACTTCCAGTTTTACCAGAAATGACTACAACTTTTTATTTTTAAATGGCACCATCGGTATTTTTTACTTTATTCGATAGAAAATAATACTCTGAATAGAATGACATATTATATGTCAACTTTTGACAATTTCGACAGTTTGACTAGAAATACCAAATTGTGTGTTGTACCAAATTATTGGTAAAAAAATGGTTTTTCCAAATTTGCTAATGAGCCACCCTCGTTCCATTTAAAAAAAGTGATATATTTTGATAAAAAATATGATTTGGACATCTTTTAACCGGTCAGGAAAAGACTCGAAAAATATTAGACGATCCAATGTATTTTTCCAAGGCTCCTTGATTAAAATTTAGTATTTTTAACACAGCCATGGCACTCAGATTTAAATTTAAAAACGATTTTTCTTTAGGCGAATATGTCAAACGTTGACATGCGATATGGCGTTCTACTCAGAGTGTCATTTTCTAACGAATAAAGTAAAAAAATAGGTTATCATTTAAAAATCAAAAGTTGTAGTCATTTCCGGTAAAACAGGAAGTGACCGAAAACAATTTAATACCGTCAATCAATCCTAATTTATATCATATACTAACATACCAGATTTCGTTTTTTGTATGTTAGTATATACCAAATGTCTTTTTTTATCTGAAAATGTAAAAAACCATAACTTTTTTCTTTGTAGGTCAGATTAGTAATGTAAAGGGTAATATTACCGTGGTAATATTACAGGTAATTTTGGTAATATTGTAATTTCACATGGGTCGCGTATGCTCCGTCCGGATGAGTTCGTCGACGGCTATCTTGAAAAAACACGCGGACGCTCGCTGTTAGTACAAGAAAAACAGATTTACCATAGAAAGGGCCGGAAAACTTACATTTATCTCGTCTATAATTATAATTTACTACGGAGAACATCCCAGAAGGGTGGAACACTTCACTCAATTAACGAAAGAGAAAGAAGAACGAGATGACGATATTGAGGATGGTTTACCTTTATCTACTCTATTCCATATTATAAACCACTCTGACTCTGACTAGTTTACAAAAACGTTCTTGCCTTTTTTGTAACGTTTTTACAGTTAATAGAAAATTAATATTATTTAAAAATTTGTTTTTTATAAATTACCAATGTTACCGTAATATTACTGGTAATATTACCGATTTATAAATTACCATAATAATAATTTTACATCACTAGTTGAGCCATTTTTGAGAAATTCCCGGTAGAGTTACTTTTGTGGACTTAATGGATAAATATTGTTTTATTCTCTTTACAGATACTGCGAGGAAACAGTAGTGATGCTTGCGAAGTCCGAGATCCCTGTCAACATGGAGGAATATGCATATCAACTGACAGTGGTCCCATCTGTGAATGTCGCAATTCAGATTACGAGGGTGAATTCTGCGAGAAAGGTAGGTTATTCCAACTGATATTCTAACAAAATTAGCATTAAAATTTACCTCGAAAATGTTAGTAGAACAATATTAACAACTAACATTGCATTTTGTTGTTTTGAAAGTACTTATATTTCTATTCAAGTAGTTTCTATAACTATAAGTCATGAATATAGTCTTAAATATGTGCAAATATTTTCAGGGCTGGTAGATCTCGATGAAAGAAACGTATTTTCTCTTTGTTGTTTTTTAAATAAGTCCAAAATAACCGAGTTATTCGAGTTTAAAAATTTAAAAAAAATATTTATTTTTTAAAGAATTTGAGGGCCACCGGATTTTTTCTGTATTTGCATCCCCTATAATGCCGTAACTGTAGAGTAAAGCCGTAACTATGGTAATATCAGAGCGTAAGAAATTATACCGTGGGAAAATTTGCGCTGTACAGGCATGTCTAAAAATTTTTCTAAAATATACAGGAAAATTTAAAAGAAAATGCACAATTTTCAACATTCTTTTTTTGCTAAAAAACTCATAGACGTGTTTCTGTGGTCGAAATATACCACCCCTAAAAATATTTACACTTATTTAAGACTCACCCTGTATATTTCAATATATTTCCAGATTTGAATATGCTATTCTCCAAATATTTTCCGTTGAATTTTTATTTTATAATGTCTAGTTGATTTAAGTAACGCTACTGATTTATTTATTAAATTCTCTAGATTTTAGAAAAATCATATTATAAGATAGTCTCAATTACCATTGAAATTTACTATCAAAAAGTCATAAAAGTATATAATGATTTTTTTACGCGTGTTTCTAAAAAATGCAATACTTTTAAGACGCAAATACCGTATAATCGGAAAAACGGCGTCCAGTTGGCTTGCAATTTTGCATATAAAATGACAGCGATCTTCATATCACAGCCATCGCTGACGCCGATTTTATTTTCGATCATACGGTGTTTAAGAGCTTATAAAATACTGATGCTATAGACCTATCTTATAAGGCCAAGAGCTTTTGTGATAACATATGGCCCTCTTGTTATAAATTAGGGCAATTTATCTTCCTTTATACTTCTTTATTCAATTTCAATAGAGTGCTATAAGTTTTTATACCTTCCTTGCGTCAAACTTCTTTTGCGTCCAAAGAAAAAATGGGAAGACGCTTTATGTGAATAAAATGGCTAATATAAAATTGGCACTCACTGTCAGAGAAAATGTTTTGTTATTAAATTAGAAATATACTAAGTGACATTGAGAATAGAACACCCACTAAAAGTTGTTTAATTTTAATAATCTTTTGTACATGAATGTAGGCGTAAACAAAAGGCGTAAATGATCAAAATTTGGAGTGAAAATATTGGCTCGTTACCTTGTCCCTGTTAATAATGTGTTGGACCACCTCGATGTTCTACTGTTTAACCAGCGGATCTGAAGCTACGGAAGGAATGCGAGAAAAAAAATCGATATTGCCACGTTTATCTATAAAATTGCAAAATTGCCAGACATGGATTATAAACTTAATATATTTTTATTATATATAATGTGTTTAGCATATATTCTGACGTATATTACTAAGGAATTTTAACGTAGTTCATATTGTTTTCTTTCATTCTGTATAATCTGCTTATTATGAAAGTTGAAGATTTTTCAACGATATCATTGGCAAACCGGCATCGCCGCGCATGGCCGCCTATTCATCGAACATGATTGGCGAGAGTACGTCTCAGGATTTGTTACCACGCGGTTGCCATGGCTTTTACGCCTTTCCTATTCGCTTGCTTTATCCCCAACTTCACGGTCTCTTCTGAAAAGAGTAGGAATATTGAATAGTATTGAAATATCCAGTGGCGGTGTCATTTTTTTATCATTATTACTTTATTTCATTATTTTATACCGGTTATCCTAAACTTTATTCCTACATTTTTCGTATATTTAATAGTTAAGTTGTGTTTTATTGTTTTGTTATCTTGTTATAATGTTTTTCGTTTGTAGTTTTTAATTATTAATATCAAGTTTAATCGTATATTTCTGTTTTAAAATGAATAAATTTGTTAAGGGTAAGACGCTACATAGTCAGACAAGAGAAATAAAAGCTAATTTATATAGGTAAGTTAATAATAACGTGGATGAAATCTCATTTGGTTTATTTCCTTGTGTTCATAATAGGGTTTGCAATGAAGAAGCTACAGAGAGTTCGCTTAAGTTGCCGCTTAAACGTAAACTTGAGCGGATATTTCTTTATACCGGAGTTAGCGTATCGACTATAAAAAAATTCACACAGAAGATAAAAAAAGGCTGAAAACTAACCGCGATAAAATGATATCCAGCTCTGGAAAGAAACCACCACGTGAGACTGCTGTCGAAAAGCTCGACGACTTTTTCGAAGTGGTCAGGAATTTGATAAATAGATTTTATCTCGAATTCAAACTCGTCCCCGCAATTAGAAAGCTTTTGCAAAAATTGCAGGAAGAATCGAATTTTCCTTTGCAGGGAAACGCTTAGGGGGTTATTAAAATCAAATGAATTTTTTTGGCGTAAAAGTTAAAATAACAGATAAATATTAATGGAGCGGCCCATTATATTGCAGAGAGAGATATAAATATATACGCGAAATTCGAAAATATAGCCAAGTATTATCTATTTGGATGAAACATATGGGTAGACAATGACCTAACCTTTAAAAACTGCTGGCGGAGCGATACCATATCTGGTGTAATAGGCAATATTGGATCTACTGGTAAGTAAAATTATGTTTTGTTTACGCTTCCAAAGTTAACTATTTTCAAGATTTTTTTTGCTGGAAATAGTTAAATATCTAAAATTATGTATTATAGAAAAAAATATAGTTAGTACAGATATATAAATAAATATACCTCAAGACTCAGTCTTGATCATCTGCTGATGGCAGACATGGTTAGCGAAACGTGCGTCCAGTGTAAAATTAAAAGTGTTTTGGTGTATTGTACTGATTTAGTGTTTTATTTTGCTGTGTAACACCAAAGGTTCCAACCCCCAGCTGTAATTATTTCTTCTATTATATTAACAACACAATAATAAGATGATTCAAAATATTTAAGGTTTATCTGCTAACTCAACAGTAACGATTCAAACAGCATAAAGTTTTTTGAAAAAAAATATTAATCTGAGTATTGTATTTATGATACACATTATTTTCATATAACACCGTACGCCCATACCTATTTTATGAATGAAATGGGCGTGTTTTGTTTACAACTGCGTTCCCCTGCCGATACCCCGTAGCTACAGATCCGTTGGTCACACTATATATAGTCTCTAAAAAAGAATAACTTTGAATTTTGACCGTTATTTTTTACCAACATGGCAAATATAAAATCCCTCTGTCAATAAAGTTACTGATATTCTTTAAATTGAGTGCCTGAACGAATCAGATAGGAAACTCTTTTTACTTTCGTGAAATAGAAAAGGAAAATTATAAAACAAGTCACAATTCTGCGTCTTCTTGCAAAAATCAACACGAAATGGCATAATTGTCAAAAGTCAAATGTCATCAGCTTTTGACATTTCTAAATATCAGACCAATGCCGTCTCTAATAGAACAGCCACGGAGCGAGATTTATGACGTCACGCTAGTTAGATACTACGGATTAATAAATATGTTGTAGAATACATGGAAAACATAACTATTCCTCGTATTTTTGGTTTGTATTTTAAAAATGATATAGTTTACATGAAATATACATAATATACAGTTAATAAATACAATATATTATATACCTATTTATAGTAATAAATACATTGGCAAATAAACTATGAACCATACAAATGCAGCAAATGTTTTACAATATACAAATAATGAATAGGTATATAATATATTGGGTAAAATGTAAAATATATTTTAAATTTTGGTTTGAAAATCGATTTAATTTAACAAAAAAACATGAATGATGAACAGAGACATACCTAATAAAATTAACACTAGACAAGCCCGCGGGAACTGTCAAATTCAAAGTTATTCGTTTCACAAACTATATAATCCTGTTACTTTGTTTTAGTCACTAAAGACGCTTCACGCTAGAAACGCAAAAAACGCTTTCTGTGTGGCCGTGGGCTTAAGCTTGATTTTCATGCATCCGTTGTCCGACGATACGTTGATACGATATTAATTTTATTTGTAGAATTTAAAACTTTCATTGGTTAGAAAATAACGCAGGTTTTAAATTTATCTCCGTTTATCGGATATACGTTGGTGTTATTTTATATTTTCGTTTCCATAACGATTTTGCTGTTTTACTTATATTTTTATTAAGGTTAGATTAAATTTGTCAAAAAATTGTCAAAACGTCCGTTATCGTATGAAAGGGTCCGTTGACGGGCTGAAATAAAATATTTACGGATGAAAAGTGGCGCGAAAACGCTATGACCTATCAGAGCACCGTCGGACCAACGTACCAACGTATAACGGATGCATGAAAAACAAGCTTTAGACAGTTGGATTGGAATTCCCATTCCAGGTTACGGAGTCTTTCAAGTTCTTCAGTTTCGCTTAAAGTTATCGCTGTATTAGTCACGTTTTAAACAATTCACAGCTTAAAGTTACTTTAAATTCACTGTGAAAATTTCACAGGTAGCGATATTTTGTCCATCCCTGCTCTAAATTAAAGCATTTCAGATCAGCAATTTCAGTAGTTATACTTCCGTCTAAAGCTGTAGGTGGCTAAAGTTTGAAATGGCTCTGGTGCACAATAGGTCCCCACGCATTTAACACTTTTTTGGGATTTTTTTGCAAGATTATCTTAAACTGAATATTTTTAAGCATAAAAATTGTTGGATGAATGTGTTTTATTTTTAAAAAGCGGCAAAAAAACGTATTTTAGGTACAGGCGACGGACAGTAAATATGTTAAATTTTCTACACGGATTCAGTAAAAACATCACATATTAGTACTTTATTACCTTATATAGACGTGGAATGATCTAATTTAAGCACAAAAATGTAACGAATCTTCTTTGTAAGCATAAAAATTAAGAAAAT